GTGTGTGTGGTTGTGTGTGTGTTTTGCGTGTGTTTCAGCAGTGAGTACGCCTAGCAGCACCACAGTCGACTGCCTTGCTCAAACACACAGAAACAGAGAAAACCGGCAGTTTACTTCAAGTTGGTGTGATTTTATTCAGGCAGATTTATGGTCAGAATACAGACTTGAAGCCACACCCCTTCTAGTTAGCTTCTGATCAACTAGCATCTGTAGCTCTGCTTACCCCAAGAGTAGCCAGTTTGTCCCAGTGGCCAGTGGCGGTACTGCAGGCTAAATCGTATTTTCCCCATAGACCACCATTATAATATAAGAAACATCTGTGACACAGTTAAGAGGACACCTCAAATTAAAACTGGGTAGTTACACAACTTTTACAGAGCCCAGAAAATCTTGATTTAATGAGTGAGAAACCTTCATTGGAATAAATGGATGCCCCCTTGAAGGACAGTATCCAGATCTCATAATGCATCATAATATATCTATATATATATCTACGGCTTCATTAGAAAGAGTTTCCTTTGTCAGTCGTTGTGGAAAACTAAAACACATTCCCTTGGTTTTCTGTCCATATTCAATAAGTTATTAAAAAAAAGGAAAATTATGATATTTAATCAAGGTATTTAATCAAGTGGAATTTATTTTATTTTATAGACTAGAAAGAAAACATTGCTGCGCTATGGACACCAAAAAGATTGCTGCAAGTGCGCTTCACCTCTGGTTATACAATTTTCCAGGACAACATAGATTATTTCCAGGATAGCTGATCATTTTAATCAATCTCCAGGTGTTTCCATGACTGGAAAACTCACTTCAGTCTCTAAATCTTCAGGTTTTCCAGAGCAACTAAATGCCATACCTAAAATAGCACCAGTCAAACAGTGGAAAACCACGTTGAAAATGAGACTGAAAAAATAAATGTGTGTATATACATATAAATATACATAATACACTGCACGACGTACTTTAGAGTAAGGCCATGTTCCTAACTGAGAAGTTTCAAGAGACATATGTCGTCATATCACACAACCTTAACCTTTTGGTAAACATGTTGGAGCAGCTAAGTCATCAGTAACTGGTATGATGTAGCGATTGCACCCCCTTCAGGTGCCAACGAGACTGTAGACTGAAGTGCTGCTAATTTATTGTAAAATTCACACTTCTTCCCAAAATGTAGGTTATACAGGAACAAGTAAATATGTAGTGTTTAAACAGTTTTGACACGTGGACATGCTAAAGTGGAAGAATTTAAAGGGTCACATCGTTCAGAAGCTACGTTTAAAGATATCCAGATAGTGTTAGAGCAGCAGCTTCGGCTCACACACTGGCTGCGTCTCATCTGCCACAACAGATCTTTATTAACATGAAAATGTTGCAGGTTACTGCTTTCATTCACTAATTTACTGTGTTACCAGCATCAGCGAGCATTCTGCCACATTCACCCGCTCTCGGGAGTGTTGGCATCAAACACACACACACACACACACACTCACACACACAAACAGGTCGGCAGCCCACTTCTGTCCCAGTGCTGGCAAACAGACACACAGACAGAGTCGACAGCTGGAGGCTAACGTCAGCTGAGCTGTAGTTTCACCATTTTAGAGAAACGTACAAATAACAAATGCACCCGATCTAATGATGATAGCATCGACAAGGAATTACACACACACGGCGCTCTGTCTGTGTGTGTATGTGTCTGTGTGTGTGTGTTTGTGTGTGTGTGTGTGTGTGTGCAGTGGCTTACTTTTCTTTTTACATCTGAATGCACCTTTTTTGTGGGCCCATGCATTTCTCTCTGTGTGCCTTTTCATTATGTATGCGTTAATATTCTTTTTGTGCCTGTGTATGTGAGCACACGCTATGTGCTCATACATGTGTCATTGTGTGCGACCTACAGTATGTGTATATGCCCCTATGGCTGCGTTCTGACCTCTCTCTGGCCCATATGTCTCAACATTCTGAACTGAATCTGAGACAAATAGGAGCTCTACTTTTAAATGTTAAAAACAAATGTTAAAGTGTTCTGTGACATCTTCTGCAAATCCCGCCATCCGGGGGCTCAGGGTTCTGAGTCCAGAACCCAAAGATGAGAAACCTGTGAGTGATTATCTTTGTGTGTATTTGTGTGTGTGTGTGTGTGTGTGATCACAGCTCAATCACATGATGCATCACATTGCCCGGTCTGTCTCCATACCCGCTCTCTTTCACTTCCCCTATTCTACATGATCTCTCTCTCTCTCTCTGGCTCAGTCTCTTTTTTCCATACCCTCCCTCTAAATTTGTAAATCTCATGTTTCCCTCTTCCTCTTTTACTCCATCATCTCTTTCTCTCTCTATCTCTCATCCATTTTTTAAAAATGATTCTCTCTTTCTCTGCCTCTTAGTCCCCCCCCCTTTCAACTCTACCCCTCTGGTCTTTCAACAACCCCCCCTTCCCTCATGTTGCCTGAGAATCTACATGTACATTTAGATTCTAATCGAACAATTAACAGTTTCTTCAAACCTTGTATTGGACTTTACATCCTTCGCTTTCAACTCATACCATCAACCCTCTATCTGCATGTATCACTGACGCCACATGATTGCCATATTAACTGTGCTACCTTGGTATGATTACTGTAAACAAAGATGATCATGTGAAGACCATTTTTAGCTTCTAACACCGGTGGTGAGATCACGTTTCTCCACATTCAGATACACACGTTCGATATATTTGATATGTGGTCGTCAGGAACATGTTAAGTTATTTTCTTTTTTCATCTTTCTGTAAGTTGGTAATCAGAAATTCTTTTCCCCTTCAAGTACACTGGGTGCGAGCTGCAAATCATCCATTGTTAGTAAAGGATCAGTGAACTTTCACAGACGTGTGTTTGGATGGATCTGAACGTCTCAGAATGAATTGGTGATTGATTGATTGATGATGAACGCTAGATGTCACACCTGCAGTCACTTTGAAGTATCTGTTAGATCTTCAGAGAAGTGCTGTACTCTTTCCTCCATTAAATTTAATTCTCAGCTATATTTACTGCTTACTTTTCAGATTAAGAACCTACATAAAAACGCATACGATAATAGGATTTATAAAATAAATTATTCAACATTTTTGACCCCTCAAAGCCCCTTGTCATGCATTAGCTTCGTCAGATGAATTGTTAGTTTGAGTTTAGAGCAGATGTCTGTCTTTGGTGTAACTGCTGTTTCCTTAAATAAATATTATTTCACCAAAAGATTAGCTAAAAGTGCAGAAAATAAATACAAATGTACGTGGCAGAACTTTGTTTTCTTTGTTCATACCCCATTAATCCTCTCAGGACCCTCCAGATTTCTACCAGTTGATACATCTGTATTAACAATCTGTGGATATAATAATCCGTTTTTTCTCCTAAAAGAGTACTTTTAATTTCATTTTGCTGATAATACTTTTGTTCCTTTAATTTAAGTAGGATTTTGAATGCAGGACGTTAACCCTAAGAGAGTATTTGAGTATTGCATTGTGGTATTGGTACTTTTACTTAAGTAATTAAACGGTATGAATACTTTTTTAACCACTGTAAATGACTCATAACAGTTCAGGAGAAACCACAGTATCTCACTGTCTCACTGTCTCTCTCTCTCTCTGCAGTACACAGGTCCGATCCCGGCCGAGCGAGGGGGCGAGCTGGCCATGGGGGGAGGTCGTAGCGAGACCTCTGCACTGAGCGGGACAGGAGGGGGGCGGGGCATGACCACTACCCAGAATTCCCAACGGCCCAATGCTTGCTGCTTCTGCTGGTGCTGCTGTTGCAGCTGCTCATGGTAGGACACACACACACACACCACACACACACACACACACACACCGGCATTCACACAGACAATATACACCCAAACACGTGGCACTTCTAATGAAAGCAAACACAAACTGGGAAGAGGTTTCTCTAGCTGGAAGTACGTGTGGTCATCGTTGTAACATCAGCTGTTAAAAGACACACAGCTGCCTTATCTTGTGTTTTAATAAACCTTAACCATGTCTGCGGGAGGCTTCTATCGTGTCAGGAAAACCTCAGCAGGTGTGGTGTCACCACTGCTTGTAATCTGTTGGTTGAGTGTTTCATTCATTTATTTATTAAGAAAATATAAAAATATATTGTTATCGTTGACATTCATGGTTGTGGTGCATACTGTATTGATTCACTGTATGATTGGGTGCTGTAAACCTGCACCACTAGGTTAGGTTGGATGTTACAGGGACTGTGATAAATTCAAATGTAGATCACACTGTTCTGGTTGCATAAAAAAGTAATGTAAGAGTACAGAGTTGATGCATCTAATGTGGGCGTTGTCTTTATACTTTCACACCTATCCAAAATATATTTGATGCAATATATCACAATATATGATATTGTACGCCCCTTTATTAGCTGAGTTTTGTAGTTGAATTGCCAAATTCTTGTCAATACAGCATCTCTATCGATTTATTAAGAACAACTAAAATAATGGAGCTAATTAAAGTAAAGGTTTAGTTCTGTAAAGCTGGTTGGTTCCTGTTCTGGGTGCTATAGCTGTCTGCTGCTGTAGATGACTGAGTAATGTGTCCGGCCATTGTTCTCTGCTGAAACAGGAAGACTATTTGCTATTATCACAGGCGGGTATCATCAAAACATGTGTTTATGGTTGACTCCAGTTACTGGGCTTTCTTTTTTAAAAGTTGCCCTTATCTTGTCTTAAGCTTGCAAACAATATCTGTCAGAATGTCAGAATCAGTTATCTTGTAGGAGGAAAGCACAGCCCAAGCTGACGCAGTCCACTGGCAGAGCCTGTTAGACCAGTGGTGGCTGGTACACAACACCCACACCCACACACACACAGAGGAATACGTTGGATAAAACTGCTCACAGTCACACATGGAGTGTCCAGGCATTAGTCAGAGAGTAGCTGTACAGTGATTAGGTCTCTGTAGTTCCCACAGGGGAACTAATTATTTATAGCTCCCTCTCTCTCTCTCTCATCTTTCTCTCCTCTCTCTCGCTTGTCTCTCTCGTCGTGCTCGTCTCTGTCGTCTCGTCCCCTCCTTCTCTCTCTTACTCACACACACCTGCACACACACACACACACACACACACACACACACAGTGAAACTATAGACACCTGTAGCTGCAGCCTAACGCTGCTGTTAACATAACTGTGGTTAGAGTTGCCATTAAATGGAGTAGTAATATCCTTGTGGGTGATTGTACATGTGTTTATAGTTCTGAGAACAATTACTCTTCTTGTCAGCTGTGGTTTAGTGTGCATGTGTGTGTGTGCTTGTATGTGTGTGTGTGTGTGTGTGTGCGTGCGTGTTTCCTGTCTGAAAGCCGTTTTATCATGTCAGTCTCACTGTCAGGAATGAAGAGGAGAGATGGAGGCGGAGCAGGAGGAAGAGAATATCACAGGACACCAAGATGGAAACCATACCAAACTGTGAAGCTTGGTGAGTCTGGAGCGCTGTCACACACACACACATACACACATGATTTTTAGTGTGAATGCAGGATTTAAAGGACCAGTGTGTAGGATTTGTATTTTTATATTAGTGGCATCTAGCAGTGAAGTTACAAATTGCAACTAACTGAACACTGCTCGTGTCTGCATTTAAAAACCTGAAAGGCCCAATCTACAGCAGATTGGTTTGTCCGCTCTGGGCTACTGTAGAAATATGGCCTCCATGGAAGGCTCATTCTAAGGTAACAAAAATGCAACAATTACTCAATTGCTCAAACACTTAATTACTTCTGCCAATAGAGCTTCCTAAATGTTCAAGTGTTGTTCAGGATGTAATGTTCATTACATTCTAGAAAACATACATTTTGGGTGGATGTACAATGCTAATAATGTGTGTATTTATATGTAAGATGCTAATCATTACACTTAGCATGTCAACAACTGCATTCTGAAATATAATAGTCATTTCACATGAATTTTCTAAGATGCTTGTAGCTTAAATCAAATGAGAAGTCGGCTTAGTTCTCCATTAGACTGCATGGTATCAGTGTGTTATTGCAGCCAATAGAGCTGCCCCCTGCTGGCCATTACATAGAATCCAGTTGTAAGACTTTTGCGTTGGCTTCACTTTACAGACCCAGAAGCGCTGTCCATCCAATATAAACTCTACAGCTGAGGGAGTTAGTAATTCTTTCTTCCTCTTCCGTTTCTCTTAAACTTAAGCATAAACTTTGGATCGTTACAGTCATTCAGCAACAAATAAACAGGAATGATTGAATGAATAAATCAACCAATCGAGACATTAACCGCCTGTCCACTCCTCCTCTCTCAGCAGCAAACCCTCAGCGGAAGAGATCCGGCTGTGGTCGCAGTCCTTCGACAAGCTGATGAGGAACCCGGCGGGCCGAAATGTTTTCCGGGAGTTCCTGCGAACGGAGTACAGCGAGGAGAACATGCTGTTCTGGTTGGCCTGCGAAGACCTCAAACAGGAAATCAACAAAAACGCCATTGAGGAGAAAGCGCGCACCATATACGAGGACTACATTTCCATATTGTCGCCAAAAGAGGTAAGAGAGCCACTGGCTTACTTAATTCTCACACGTCACTTTAAATCTCTTGAATGTGCCAACCAGGATTGCCTCCCTCTGTCACATCGCAGTCTAGGAATCACTTCCTGTTTCCCAATTAAGATAAGATAAGATATTCCTTTATTGATCCCCCTTAGGAGAAATCCAGATTGACACAGCAGCAATAGGGTAATGTAGTGCAAAACAGAGTACAAAAAATATCACTAAATAAAATATTACAAAATATAATAGAAAATATAAGACTATGAATGAAAGTATATACACTATGTATTTAAGTTCTCGTGAATAAAGTAAGAGAGACTAAGTTCTCCTCTATGTGTTTGCCCTGGACATTTTCAGATTGTTTCAGGGCTTTCAGATTTAAGGCTTGTGTCATTGTTTAAATTCCCAGAGATTATTGCTCGTTAATCACTTCAGGATGTTGAACCATTGGGCGATTGTTGCTCAAGGTCTGCTCTTCTCAGAAATGAGATGATTTTAATTTAGGGAACTGCAATGTTTTGAAAAAAGATCAGGCTGATTTTGTTTTCCAGTGGGGTTGTTGCTTCATCTTCCTCTTGGTCCCAGTGACATTCTGTCAGTCAGTTTGTCATTCTGTCTGTACCAACAGCTTTTTCCATAGAATTTACTGATATTAATACTGATAAAGATTTCCTCTATGGCCATCAGGCTAAAATCCTACTTTCACAAAGGAAATGTACAGATGGTATGTCATGAAATTTACTGAGCACATCAGGCTCATCATCCGGGAGCATTTGTGAGAAGGAGGCGGAGGTACAGACAAGGCCTTCTGCAGGCAGCCTCGTCAGTGTGGCTGCTGTGGATCGATGGTAGTTTTCCCCTCTGTGAGTTTTGGTTTTCGAGCCCTGTACTGTAACGCTCATGTATCCCGCTGTAAGCATATGCCTGAATTTCCTGTAGAATAGAACAGAATTATACATCATTTTTCTCTGTTTTGATATTGGCACTATATATCGGCCACCCTGCTCTCTAAATATCTACAGCCATCGAAAAACCCAAATCAGTAGACCACTTTTTTATTGTTTGACCAAGTGATAAATCAATGATAAATAAATAGTCATACATTAATATTTTATTTGTTCTATCCAATATTTTACAAACTTAAAATGATGTCACACTTTTTTGCTGTTTAACTGTGTGTTAAATTCCCGTTCGGCTTCTTTATTTGAACTTACATTTTGGTGTACGCTGCACATTTAGAGCACACCCACCTTAAGAAATGCGAGCCCGACTGATAGAACCAGTGATTATTGCTGGTTATAAATGCAGACGTAATGCAGTACACACACACAGTAAGTGTATTAAAGTTTATTTTTCTTCTGGTGAGAAATGGGGGTCTGCTTTACTGCTATTTTTAACTGACTGTGTGTGTTTAACAGTGGTTGCTTTATTTAGTATGAGCGCTGGAGGCTTTGCTTGTCAGGCTCCATCAACCGTGTGTGTGTGTGTGTGTGTGTGATTGTGTGTGTGTTAGCATGTTCAGGCACTGGTGTGTTTGAATGTACAGTTGTCTGCATGTGTGTTAGTGTGTGCGTACAGTGTGTTTACAGGAAGCTATAAATTGCTGCTCTCATCGCCTTCTGGCAGCAGACGCTTTTTATAGACACGCAAAAATACAGAGATATCTAGACGTGTGAGTTTGGCAGAGAAGATGCATGCCTGGCTGTCTGTCTGCATGTCTGACCTTGGTAGGATGCCTATCTCTGTGTGTGTGTGTGTGTGTGTGTCTTTCCTAAATAAGAGCAGAGGGAAAACATAAGAGCAAGCTCGTCGTTCTATAAATATCTGCTGTTGCTGCTGGCGAGTGTGTGCGAGTGTGTGTGTGTGTGTGTGTGTGTGTGTGTGTGTGTTCCAGCCCCTGGTAACTCTATGTATGCCTCCATGGAAGTTAATTAATGACAAAACGTTACAAAACAGCTTCCAACTTTAATCAACCTGCGAGTGAAGATCTGAGTGTAGAGACAGAGGTTCTGAGTTGGAGTACAGCATCCTGATTTGCTCTCAGTTTGAAACCAGCTCTCAAATTTTCTACAGCTGTTTCGGTGCTTTCTGAGCACCTTTTAAACCCCACTTCCTGCCCAATTGTGAATTTCCAAACTAGAAACAGTGAAACAAGTCGAAATCAACAGAAAATAATCGAATTAATCTAGTTACTGCTTTTCCATGGTGACACTTTTCTTAGCACACTCAGCTCAGACTTAGCTGACCGTTAGTCGTTGATAGTATTAAATAGTATTTTGATGAACAACTTTGGCTCTAGTCTTAGTGTCTTAACATGATGCATTCAGGCCCAATCGTATATGTAGGACATCTGCATTTTGGCCAATACTACTGTTTTGGGGCAGATAGAGTTTGTCTATTCTTGGCGGAAACATGGCGGTCTCTGTTGATTATACACTAATGAAAGCATACTTATGCATTTTATTTATTTCTGCCGATAGATCCTACGAAATGTTACACACTGGACCCGTAACAGCAATCCTTACTGCAGAATGGTCTGTTTTTGGAAATGGTTGATAATTATGTGCTAGAATATGGAAACCATGCAGTTTGTCCTTGGATGTGTTATCTTCCATCATAAACTAAACTTCCTTTCCCTCCAGGTGAGTCTGGACGCCCGGGTTCGAGAGGTTATCAACAGGAAGATGCAGGACCCGACGCCTCACGCGTTTGAAGACGCCCAGCTACAGATCTACACGCTGATGCACAGGGACTCCTACCCACGATTCCTCTCCTCCAACATCTACAAGTCGCTCATTCTCGGCGGCTCGCGTACCTCCTCCGAGTCCTAGTCCCACACCGCCTCCACCTCCACTTCCGATCCTGCACTTACGGGATTGACGCCAGACCATTTCATCGCTTCTCTCGCACACTCCTCCCAGTACAGAACTTTCCAGAAATTATCGACTCCTCCTCAGATCACTTCCCTGAATCCCAAATCTCTCAGATTACTGCCAAGACTTTCTTCTTATGTTTTGTTTTTTTCCCTCCATGTCCTAAACTTTAGATACTGTTGCCAACGCTATTTTGCCAACGCTTTTATGTCATTTGAACAATATTTTAAAGCTGCAGTAGGTTACTTTTTATAAAAATAATTTGAATACGCAGGTATGCTTTGGAAAAAATCTGGTTCCTCTGGCTCCTCCTAGTGTTCCTAGTAGTATTTGCAAGAATCCACCGGGCCTGAATGAAAATACAACCAATCAGATCTGAGAACGATGGAAAAATCCTTTCTGCGAGTGGCTTGAAAATTGTTGTTGAGTCTCATTCCCAACGTTGATATTTGACAACCTGGGAATGAGACTCAGCTATCAACTATCTATCTTTGCTCTGATTGGTTGTTTTCGTTCGGGCCCGGTGGATTCTTGCAAATGTCATTAGGATAACTAGGAGAAGCCAGAAGAACTTTTTCACAAATTTTGTCAAAGTTTCAGCAAATATGACAAAAACTTATTTTTTTAGAAAAGTGACCTACTGCAGCTTTAAAATGTTAGATTTTACCACTTTATACCCTGAAATACCTTAAAACTCCACAATTTTATTTTGTCCGAATGGAAAGGCCTCTGGAACAGTATTAAGAACATCTTAGTGCGGAAAATGTAATTACTATAATTGGAATTAACAGCGCCTCACGTTTAAAAGTAGAATATGTCCACCAGCCAGTAATTGATTTCAGTATGTATCCATGAATAGAAGCTGACTGATGATGGATTTTTTAGGACATCAATATCTGATATAAATACATGGGCTGATATTGGTTTGATTTGATCAGTTTGAAAAAAAAATTCTTAACTGAAGGGCCTCTTACTAGCTTTTTCTGGAGCTTTCGACAGTCTTCAGTGTATGGAGTTTGCACACTTTGAACGTTCTGAGCAAACTCCATCCGCTGAGGAACAGTGTCCAGAAGGATCTGGTTCTGAAGGTCAAGAAAAGGTTAAGTAACTGGACCTTCAGTTACTGATACTGGATTTTTTTTCGCTGATAACAATATTAATATTTAACATACAATTTTAAAGGGCCCCTTAAATTTGTTTATTCATGAATTGGGACCATAGGGCTCTCTGGTGGACAGATTTATACACCAATACTGATACATCCGCAGTAAGATAATATTGGTCCTGACGATTTATCTGTCTTGTAATGGTTAAGATTTTTGAACTTTTGATCAAGTTAGAACTAGAGTCCCTCATATTTAGTTAACTAATTACAAAGATACATACTGAGTGGGATATTTTTAAAATAACTGTATACTTTTGAAATTTTTTACCAGTCAGGCTCTATTTCTCTGCTGGTATCAGTTAGGTTTTCGGCTACCACCCTGTCCTGTAGCTACTGAACACACTTTCTGATTTAACTTCTTCTGTGATTCCACCTCTGTCCTTCTGTTCATCCTTTCATCCCATTTTCTCTCTCAGAACCTCTTGTCCTCCCTCATCTCTCCTGTTTTTCACCTCAGCGACTTCTGAAGGGAGAAGGAAGCGGTCTGGATGTTGAAGTATTTCTTTGGGATATCATCTGCTGATTACTTGGGAGATTTGAATGCATTTCAAGGGGAGGAATATACACCTGTGCCATGTATTCTTTTTGTGGATTCTTACACCCCCCCACCACCACCACCACCACCACTTGTGACCATTGAATCACCTTCAAGAGCCAATTAAAGGGGGATGTCCCTGACTTCCGCCCACCTCATCACCTTGTTTTTCATCCGACGGTTGTCTACGTCGGGACTGACGGAGAGGCAAAAGAAAAAGGTCGATGCTGTCTGATTCCTTCTCCTTCTTTCTTTTTCTCTCTTTCAACTGGAAAACACAGGGTGCTCCCTCCATCCCCCGCTACAAACCACAAAAAAGTTTGTTGCTTATTTGTATCGTTTATTTATCCATTCTTGTTTGCTGGATCAATCACTTCACTCCTGTGATAAACAAACGGACGAATGTCACTTCCTTTCCGACTACTGATTTACAAACAGACAAGACGTCTATTTTTTAAGAGAAAACTATATGGAACATTTGAATTATGTTGATTTTTTTTTTGTTTATTTGGTTTCTCCCACTCTCTCCACTTCCTGGATTTTTTGCAAGAAGAGGAGGATTCCTCTGAGACTGTACTGATCTCCACCCGACGCAACACCACAGACACCACAGACAGGTGCAATAAAACACTGGAGTTTGGAAAAACAACACAGACACACATTTACAAAATTTGTCTTACTATACTTCCTCATCCAAAACATAAACCCCCAGCAGGACAGGACCAAGTCCACCAAAATAGCATTTATCTCTTTCAAAGTAAAAGAAAACAGGTTATCTCAGGCTCATTGTGTGGTATTTCAGAATTTTTTCTCAGTTAAGTATTTAATGAATTGATAATCCATTCCCATGCAGTTCTTTAAAATTTAACTTTTGCAATTTGGACTGATGTTAAAATGTCTCTTTCAGCCCTTTTTCTTCTTTTTTTTTTACATTTCATGACTAAACAATCAAAAAATAACTCTTTTTCTCTTCAAAAGCCAGCATTCAGTGGGAAAATATAGGATCATTTCTTCTACAGCTATGAATACAGTGCAGTTATGCTGCTGTCATGTCATAAGGACATTAACATAACTATTTACAATTTAATAATGCCGTTCATACCATCTAGTTGCTAATAAAAAACTGCATAAATATAATATATATGGCTGGGAATTTCAGTTTTTGCAAAGTTCCAATATAAAGAAAGTAAAAAGGAAGCATGGCGGCCTCAAATCGACCACAATTGTTCAAGATAATTAAACCCTGATTTAGTCCCATAGAAAAGCAGGCGAGAATACGGATCCCCAAGTTTAAAGTCAAAGTGGTCTTAGTAAGTATAGTAATACAAATACACACACACACACACACACACTCACACACCAGGGTGGCCTACCTGGGCACTGCTGCTGCTGACCTCTGCCTATGTGACCTCTCACCTTTGACCTCACCACTGTCTGTCGCCCACTCGGACACCTGCTCCTGATTGGCTGCAGGAGGCTGCAGGGCTGAACTGTGGTTGGTCAATTCAGGAAGGGGGGTGGGAGGAAATCCCAGGTGCAAAAAAAAAAAAAATATATATATATATATATATATATTAATGAAAAACAACTAATAAAAAATATATAGAGAAAAAAAGAAGATATTATGTGAGATGGGATGCTTACACCCAGTGCTTCATGGGAAATGTAGTATGAGGAAAACAAATGTTTGTAGTTGTCTGCGGAGGCAAAAACGAAAAAGAGATGCCTAGTACTTAACCAGACTGGACACTCCGAATGCATTTATCTTAGTATTGTTAATGTTATTTATTTTATATTTTGTTAAAACTGTGATTTTAATTGTACATATATAAACAGAAAAGCTTGAACATCCAGTGAGAAGCAGCTTCGTTTGTTCAGTGTTTGGGAGTGATTTTTCTTTTCATTCATCAGGAGTTCATCAGTTCATCAGTGTGAGTGTCTCTACTGGGAATCAAACCCTCAACTTGCCTCTGTCACTGCCTTACTCTACCCTGCCTTTGACATCATGTATTTACAATTGAAAATATTTTTAATCATTATAAAAATAAAGTTTTCCCAGGTCAGTATGAGGTTAAAGGAAGAATAATTATGTTTTAGTCTTATTTGTATAATCCAAACTGACACTGTTTCTAAACTGGCTTCAACCTAGTTTTTAAAATGACTGTACTGCAGTTTATTGTTACTTGTCAACCGACGTGCACAGATACTGAAATGCAACAAGCTGACTACGGCCTGGCTGATTTAGGAGTCTAGCGCTGCTTATTTTCTATCATAAGAATCCAACAGGGGGAGAAACACCAGCTGTCAGACAATAGGACCCCAGGATACCCAAACTTATTTGAACAGAAAACAAATATGAATAGTAAAATATTAGTAAAAGTATTACAGATCCACTTCCTGCATCACCTTTGACCTCCCATCCTTGCTGTAATTGTGGACACAGATTCCTTTGTGCAATGATTGCAACCTTTCAGGTGTGCTCACTTTCAGTTTTACAGACAAAGAAAGTGGTTTCCAACCTGTCTGACCGCTTGTGTTCCGACACTCAGACTTTATTCCAGCATTTTAGCAATAGTTAGATTGGAACATAAACCAATAGCTTTAATAAACTGGAATTATCCTTTAAGGAAGCAGGCAGTTGTCAGCAGCTTTTTCTTACCTCGACTGTGTGTGATGGAGGTTTGAGGTTCACCCAAACAGCAACACGCCCCCGCAGCTCTTCACAGACTCTAACCACTATCTCAATATAAAGACATAAACAGTGGCGATGGAGCTCTCACCAAACATCAGTTAGCCAACCATCAGTCACACACACACACACACACACACAGATATTCAAAATCTGTACACATCCTAAAATACCTAAAATAGAGTAATGAGATAAACAAACCAGCAAATTGCTTTATAATAAATCTAAACTGACTCACCACTGCCTTAATGTAAGAGGAACGCATCACAAAAAGCAAGCAGACAACCTGACAGACTGCAGACTGATCAAAGTTGCCATGTGCATATTTTATTTTTTGTAGTCTCCATGAAGAAATATCAAATGCATAGTCAATATGGTTTTCAAGGAGGCACTGATATAGAGTTGCAAAGTGGGAGAAGCTATTTTGGGTGCCCCTGGTTCCGCTGGTTTTTCACACAAGCAAAGTGACGTGACAAAGCGTTTGGGTCAGCATTAAACTCTCCCAGTTAAATCATTAGTCCAAAATATTACCAGCTGCGTTAGAAAATATCTGGTTCTTTGATAAAAAGACGAAGAAGTAAGTTTGTGTACATAACAATTTCAGGGGAGAGGTTAACTACAACTCCCATGGTACATTTTGGCAAGCAGCTTGCCAAATTTTTTGGGGGGACTCATTAAAATCAGAGTAATTCTAATATAATTATCTCAATTGTTAATTTGTTAGGTTCCAGTATTCAAAAGCAGTGAACTGACACTTTCCTGCAGTTTGAACTGAAAGGGAACATGAAGTGAGCAGAGACAGACGGAGCTGCTGCAGCCGACTCTCTCTGTTGATACTCCCAACACTGACATGACACACTAAATGACACCAACATACACACAGGTCTGGTCTTTTTCCACAGGTCACTGTAACCTGATATGTTGTATGTGTTTAGGATTAATTCTCAAATACCTACATAGGTGTATGGATACACACGCCATACATCATACTCATACCCCCATATTCTCATAAACACACTTCCACTTTCACTCCCACACTTTATCTGTCTATCCATGTTTCCACTCTCTAGTTTTCTGTTGTTTAACGCAGATAATCCTCACTTCTCCTGCTCATCACTTTCAGAACTCTTGCTGTTTAAGTCAATGTCAAGTCAAAATGTTTTTTTTTTACTGCTTCAAAGTTAGCTGAAAATTTTGTTACTTTAATATGTGTTCAACCATTGAACCACATTCATTTAAAAAAAATACTGCATCAAAGCCAAATAGTAGGCTACTGAATATAAAAGTACATAATAATGTTAATTTTATCTGGATTAAATTATTTCTATTTTTATTCCAGCTGCATAAAGTACATCAAACTTTTTTTTCTTTCTGCTAGTTTATGGGTTTGTGTTATGAGACATGTCTAAAACATATCCTCTTCTTATCCCTAAGGTTAGCAGTAGTAAATGCTATATTTTGGATCTGTAAATTCCTAATATTTTCATAAGAATTGTCCTGAAAAAACTATTCCCTTGACCTCTGACCTAAAGAAAATTGGTTCTATGGGTAACCACAAGTCTCCCCTTCGGAGATCTGCCCACTTTATGCTATTTACATGTAGTTTTGGGCAAAATCCATCAGTTTATTTCTGCTTACTGGCATCCATAAACAGTATTAGAATTGCATAAATTGGGAATGACTGCAAAGCTGAGACACATACTTGATGCCACCCCTGCGTAAGTCAGTGCCACCTGCTAAAACTTTAAATATACAGTATCAAAACAGAATTGTTCATGAATCTGTAGTCAAATTGGCTGGTCAAAATTTGCCATCACATTCTCTTTCAGGTATGGTTTTTCACCCATAATCGCGCTGTAAACCAAATATGGTCAAAATCGAAAATGAGATAAAATGACACGATCAGTTTGTAACCTGTTTACAAGCTCACTTGGTAACCAGTCCTTTCTCTGAGCTGCCCTGTGTTCTGTCTAAACCACGACTTCAGTCTGTTTTCCATCCAGGAAGGAGTCACCTAACAGAACCTGGTATCACACAGGCCTTCCAGGGTCTCTCCACCTTCCTCCTGCTCTCTCCCTCTCTCTCCCATGCTCATGTATGGAAAGAGCTCAGCAGTGTTTCCACAACAAACACAACAGGAGCTTTCTCTGCTCTGCTTTCTCACCACTTTTCATCATCTCTGTCAACACGCTCGCACCATCAGCGTCGTTTGGAAAATGCAGACAGCGACTCAGGTTTATACTTGAGTCAAATGTGATTTGTTTTTTTGTTGTTTTACTTGTAAATCTCAAAACTAGGTTACCCATAATGAATAAAGGTCGACAAGGAGGAATTTCATAAGCACTGATCATGTTTAAATATACTGTAATACTTTGACTCTTACACTAAATACTGTAAGAGGAGACACTCTCTTTGATATAGGAATATTCCACTTAATACATGTATTGTATTTGCTGCCACAGTTACCTTGTTCAATTTAAGGTGATCAGAAAATGTCATTTATTAAACAATTTCTTATTAGAGTATTGCATTTTGCAAAGAAGACAATTAGAGACAAAGTCAGACAAACTGCTGACAGAAATTATTTGATAACCTGTTGAGGTTTTAAAAGGCGACTTAAAGATCCAGTCTGTAGGATTTAGTGCTATTTATCGATGAAGTTGGAGGTAGCTTCAAACCTCCCTTCCAAGCGCGAACGAGGCAGTTGCGAAATACGCCAACGCCCCTATCTACAGCCAGTGTCTGGTTTATCTGTTCTGGGATACTGTAGGAACATGGCGGTTCAACATGGCAGACTCCATGGAAGACGATCCGCGGCGTCTGTGGATATAGAGGGCTCAAAAACACAACGATTCCTATTCAGGTGATTATACACCAAT